AGTTTCTTTTTTATTTCTATTTTTCGAGGTGAACAAGTTTTTCTTGTTTTCTTTCTATTCTAATTTTATTTTTTCCTAATTAAAAATGAAATATAATTTGTAATTAGTGATAAGTAATGATTCATAAATTTTTATTGAATAGCTTCAAATTAATTTCTCCAATAAGAATTCTCTCAAATAAATGATAAAAAAAAAATTTTGTAAAATAAATTCTCATTAAAAATGCGAAACAATTTTCAATTTTTATTAAAATAAAAAAGAAGCGAATGAACGAAAAAAAGAAGTGAATAAATAATAAAGAAGAAGTGAATGACCATTAAAAAGAAGTAAGTGAACAATAAAAAAGAAGCGAATGCAAAATTAAAAAGAAACAATTTAAATGAAGAGATAAGATTTAAAAGAAAATTATTTTCGTAATGTTTTGATGGAAATATGAATATTTTTATAAAAGGTATTTAAAAGAAAAAATAAAGAAAAAAAGGAATCTTTAGTGTAGAGACAGCTGCTATAAAAACTGGGGTCAAACGTAAATTTGGTGACCTGATATCTGTTGCCAAGTCAGAGACACAAAAGCAAGGATAAATACGGCATGCAACCTGAGAACTTTTCACTTCTCAGATCTCGAATAGAGATTATTCATTCCAAATGGTTTTCGAACCATTTCAAGAATAATGTCTGCTGAGTCCAAAACATTTTTCCAATTTTTCTCCGCATGTTTTCTAAATTTAGAAGCCCGAGACAGGATTCTCATGAATTTTAATCTTCAATCCTATATCTAGGATAAAACTTTTAATTTTTTTTTCAATTCACTTGACAGTATTTATCTTTCCTCTTTTTCTTTTTTATATGTTTGGAAAAATAGATACTTTACGTCGTATTCTTCGAAAAAGGAATTTTTTCTTTTCACATGGCAAAATTTTTCTTTTCTTCAATTTGTAAATTCATAAAAATTATTTCTTTACTAATTATCTGTTGAATTTTAATTTTTTCCAAAAAGGAAAATATTTTAATGTATAAATTTAATTTTCTACAAAAAAATACTGTGTATACTATGAATTATTTACAATGAAAGAACGTAATAAATTATTCGAAGCGTGAAACTATGAAGAAATTGAAGAAATATTTAAACACTTGTGTTAAATTATTTTTTTGTAAATAGAAAAAATATATTATTTGATTTCGTTAGATATTAATTTAAAATTCAAATGGAAGGAAAAGCAATTAAAGAAAGAGATGGAAAAAACATTTGTAACCGTGTCTCTCAAAAGTGAATAGTAAGAATCGCAAATCCATTTTGCCGTCAACGTTGAATTTTCAGATTTTGTTAGAAGATTCCTATCGACATGTGAAATCGTGTACTGTTAGAAAGCTGTGATCCGCGACTAATTGGACGAACTGTTAATGGAGTCTCGCGGGGATATAATGAGTGCTCATTTCCTAGAACTTCTCGGGTGTATATATCCCAACCATTCAATCCCTCAAGCATCGTCACTTTTTTCTTTCTCTTTCCTTCTTTATTATCATTTCAAAACTGTTTTTTCTTTCTATTATCTTTTCTTGGGCAAAAAATTAGTTCTTCACTCAGCGAGTTTATTGTTACAATTATTCATTTTTTTAAAAAAGTTCTATTTATGATTTTTTCGTATAGTTATAAATTTACAAAAAAAAAAGTTGTTTCGCGAATCGAACAATATAAACACACTCGATAAAAGGACACATCACGTTTTTTATAGTCTCTTGTCAATATCTCTCGTTTCTCAAATAAGAAAACTGGTAAAACAGGTTTTGTATAAAGTGGATAGCGGGACTCGGGAGTTGGTTCAGAATTTTTTTGTTTTGTTTTAATCATTTGATTTTTCTAGTTAATTGAAAGTTAATTATTGTTAATTATTACCTCGATGTCAAGTGCTCTGTCACTTATTTGTTATTAGAGCAAAAAAGAAAAAAATAAGTTAACTATTTAGTAGTTAACGTAAAAAAATTAAAAAATTAAATTTAAATGTTAAAATTAAAATAAATTGAAAAATATTTCTACGAAAATTTTTACTGACAATTATTGAAATTAACAGTTTTTAAAATTGGTAAATTATTTTTGTAATACCAATGATTGAAGTTGTTCTATATATAAAGTCAACTATGATTAAAAATTCAATTAAGAATAAAATTAATAGTCGAATTAATTATTAATATTATTAAAGCTAATAATAAAATTATATACTCTCCAAATATAGGTATAAATAATAATAAGACCTTGACATGTGTTTGTAGATAATTTTCATTTAATATATTTTATTCAACAAACAAAAATTAGCTCCCAATTTTTTTCTTTTTTATTGAGAAATAATTATTTCCTCGAAAGTGAGTCAAGTAATTCGAAAATTGACACATAAAAAAATACATACATAATTATCTTATTATTATAATAATAAAATATTTTCCTTTCAGTAAATGATGTTTATTGAAATTTGTTATTATAATTTTATACGATAAAACCTTGTGTGTTATATGTATAAAGTACAATAATAAGTTGTTTAAGTAGAACAAGAAACCTAATAACAATTCAGTAGCTAATCTTGTAAATGTAAGTTGGATATATTATATTTATATATATTAGTAAAATATATGTTTATGAAAATGAATGTCTTCATTCGCATTGTCTGTCTATATTTCCTTATCATTTCTTATCTGTTTGCCCCATGAAATTAATACCCGTTGGTTTGTTTGGACTTGGCGATAAGATAAAAATTTATTCATGACACGACACTATGTCCTCATCCAAGAAAAAAAAAACAATTTACTCATTTTTACTCAGATTCTTTCGTATTATTTCATATTTTCAATAAAATTTTACTTTTATTTTATTTATTGCTAGTCTTTGAAAATTGCGAAATAAAATTATTGAACACTGTTAACTCTAAAGTATCAAAAGTATATCAAATTCTTGGTATCAATTTTATACTTTTAAAAAAACTATGAAAGTACTTTGAGTAATATCTATTTTTATGCATATCAGAGAAATACCAATTTAATTTGTGTCAAATGTTTCAAGAGTTGCACTTAAAAAATTATTGTTTCTATATTTTCACTCATATTATTTAATATTAGTAGGCGAGTTTATAAATGTAATAATAATATTATACGCTTATACCAGTATTAAAAGGTTATTTCTACACATGGATTCAAGTTCTATTTATCAAAGATTATTATGTTCAGATCGCGTGAATGATTAATGTATATTTAATCTTTTTTATCGTGAATTCATCAAAGAAAAAAGGAAACAATTGCAAATGTTCAAGAAAACAAAAGAAATTTAAATAATTCTTCTTTTTCCTAGAAATAAGGAAAATACTAATAATAAAAAATTATTAACAATTCTATTATTAATAATAATGATAATAGTAACAATAATAATATCAATCTAATAATTATAAGAGTAGAAATAAGAATAATAATAATGATAATAATTGTAACAATAATAATACTAATAATATTTATAAATTGTAATAATAATAAAAATAATGGCAGTAATAAAAATACTAGAAAATAGCACCTACGATAATATCTTTATGAGATAAATTATGACAATGAGAGATAATAACAATAGTAATAAAATAAACGCAGGCAATAATAAATTCATTCAGTTTCTATATAAGTTCGTGATTCATTCCCTCTCTTTATATAAATACTGATCGTGCGAAAATAGAAAGTGTACACGATAGACAAAATTCATTACAATAATTATGTAATCAATATTTACTTCTATAACAATTAATTAAAAGAGTTCTTAATAAGTTATTTTTGATTTATAAAAAAATTATATTTTTTCACATGTTTTTCAACTAAAATCTTCTTCATTTTTTTTTATTTCTTTCGCAACGAATTGTGCGGGATATTTGTTCCTTTTTTTAGAAAATATCGTGAGCAAATAATTTTCAATGTATTATTGATTTTGTAATTTAGAAAAGAGGGTGCGCGCGTTATGGCAAGGCATAAAAAAAGACATAAAATAGTAGAGTCAGAAATAAAAATGAATGAGAGAAAGAGAGAGTGAGAGGGAGTGAAAAAGGGCTGAAATTCAGGAAGCAAACAGAAGTTTGCAGACGTTAATGGCTTTTCTACCTACGCATTTTTTTTGTCCATGACATAGAATACTATTCAGTCACCCCTGAATTAATTCCCCTCCTTTTGTGTATGTGTGTGTCGGATAATAGCAACTCGGCTTAAATAATGAATGATTCACGGACTTGTGCTCGAGGTTGAAGGGTAAAAATTGCAAGATTGACACGAAGGAATAAGGCAGACTCACTATGAAAAGGGCAATGACTTTTGGTTTATAGAATATTAGATATTTCGTACAAGATTGCAAGTGTTTTTTTTTTTTAATTTGTAATTGAAATTTGAAAAATTAATTTTGAAATCCTTTTTGCGAAATTTGATACAAGTTTCTGTTATTGGGATTACGAAAGTGTTTTTTTTGTTAGAAGTTACACGCATGTGAGTTGACATTTACTCACGATGTGATTAGCATTGTAATCTTTGCCTCGAGGAGTATAATTAGATTCTCGTTCTTGACGGAGGTCTGCTAAGTGAGTTGAGAACGATGCGCGCTTGGCACCGATCAAGTTAAAATTTTCTCCTCGTGGTATTAAAATATAGACTGAGGTCTGTAAATTATTATCAATTTGTGATACAGTAGTACTACTTTTCCATTAATTTTATCTAATTTTCTCATTTTGAAATTATGGTTCTCACAATATTGGAGTTTTGTTTGTTAGTCCAAGATTAACGGTAATTTTCATACGTGACGTTCCATAGTTGTAGAGAGACTTAGAATTACTTAACAGATCTGAAACTAATACAAACATTTTGTTCATTTCACTGAGGAATAATTTTGAAGAGTAAAGAATGAAAAATCTCTTATTTTCTGTGAGATAAAGAGGCGAGAGTAAAGCGAGACTTCCCCGAGTGAATAAATATGAAGGCAGTATTGATTGAAGTAGGTGTCTTATGCTCCACAGAGAAATATGCAGTCAGCTTCGATGGGGTGGAACAGCTTTATTCCTTTACCACCTCCCGGCAGTCGGACACATGGAACGCCACATGGGGGACTAACGCCTCACGGTCATCATCATCCCGGTGCGGTGACCGCTGCTCATCCAGTGACGGTTGCTCAACAACAACAGCGGGAGAGGGAGGAGCGGGAGGCACGAGAACGTGACCGGGACGCGGCTGCTCGGGACCGAGAGCAGCGTGAGCGCGAGCACTTGGCAGCTGCCGAACGGTTGCACAGGCAAGCCGATGTCAGAGATCACACCGCCGCGGCTCATCAGCGAGCAGCCTACTATGCAGCCACCGCACAACCCACCGCTCAACAGGTACTTATTCTTCTCCCCTTTGTTTATTTTTTCCCATTTTTCCGAATCTAATTTCCCTTCTCTCGTTCCAGGTTTCGCGGCCGTCGAGTGTACCTGTTAAAGTCGAGTACCCGCCGCCGGCTCACTCGAGAACGTCCAAGTCCTCCCTGACAGTGTCGAGTCACCACGAGAAGCAGCCAGTCGTGGGTCCACCTCACAGTGTCCTGCCGAAAGCCGAGCCGAACGTCAGTCTCTTCGGCTACTCGACCTACCAGCCACAGTCCTACATGCACGAGATAAAAGTCAAAAACGAACTGCAGTCCCACAAGCAACTTCCCGGCAAGAGTGCAAACATGACGGTCGGCCACGAGCGAGACCATCACGGCCGGGAAATCCACCAGACTCCACCGCAAATGCTGTCGGACCAGAAGAGCTCCGTCATCGTCAAGAACGAGGGCCGCGAACTCCCCAAGGCACCCACGCCCCAGCAGCACTCACCTAGTCTCAAAATGATGTCATACATGAACGTTCAACCCGTGACACCCCAACACAAACCCAGTGGCTACGAGTACCGAAGTCCCACCCAGAGTCCCCATCATCATCACCACCACATGGAGAGCATACAAGCCAAAAACATCCCCCCCAGTCATCATCGTCCCGGGGCGAATGCCCAACTGCCCTCGCCTCACGGGCACCCGGCCCACCCCCACAATCGACAATCACCACACGCTCAACACCCCCACCAACCGCACCCGACACCCCCGGAGCCGCGCTACCTGAGCAGGCCCGGCCCCGAGCCCGGCATCCAGTACGGGGCGAAGAGCGCCTACTCCTACCCGCATCCGCCGACCGCCTCGTCCACCACCCACTACGCTGCGCCCGCCGGGTCGAAGCCGAAAGTCAGCAGTCCGGCGCCTTCGCACATCTACGGGAAACCCAATTCCGGCATTATGACTGGCACGCCGGTGTGTAGAGCGTCAGAAACCGGTCCGGTGCCTGGTCCATTGCCGCTGACATCAAAAGCCGGAACTTCGCCTTACCAACAAGTGCCTCATCATCATGGGGCGCCACCTCTACCTCTACCACCACCAGCTCACAGTAGTAGGTCTGTGTACGACTCCAGAGGTTTCGCGTCCGCTGTCTCGGCCTCCAAGTTACCTCCGCCACCTCTACATACCTCGCCATCGACCACCGCGTCAACTCCAATGTCGGCCAGGGCGGTCGTTCATCCCTCTCATCACAGTAGTCCCCATCAACCGGGACCACAAATTCCACCGCAACAATCAATGTCTGCCTTCCAAACTCAACCTCTCGATCTTGGCGTCGAACGAACGAGTTCGCCGAAGAGAAAAGCGCCGACGCCTTCCGACGAATGCAGCGTTCAACCCGTCTCGCTCGAGGTCTGCAAGAAACGGCGAGTCGACGAACCACAACCACTGTCTCTGCAGAGTGTCAACACGCCCGTCTTATCAAGGGTCAGCGAGCCTAGTCCTCTTATTGCCTCGGCGGCCACGTCCATCACCACTGTCGTCAATACTGCGCTCCTCGCACAACCCACCAATCAATCACAGGTTCGTTTTACTCTACTGCAAATTACTCTTTCTTAAACGATGCCGAAGAAATGAACCTGAAGATGAAACTGAAGTTACCAACGTTGAATCAACGAAACATTTCTTTAAAACATTATCTCTGAAAAGTTCGGGATACAAATTTTTCTTGTTTATTTTTAACCCAAGTAAACCCTCCAAACCCTAAAATAAAAAAAAAAAATGGGGAAACAGTAGTTCTTATTTTCGAAAATCCGAGAATTTCAAGTAAATTAATAACTCCTCGCCTCAGTATCAATTTTTTTCTTTTGATAATTAATTATTTAGATGTCACAAACCATTTTAAAAAATTCCAAGTCGGGGAAAGCAGTTGATTTTGAAGTTTTCTGTCGTAGATCTTCAAAAATTCCCGGAATTTGATTTAAAAAATCAAAATCACTGCTTTTCCTGACTTGGAATTTTTTTTAAATGGCTTGTGACATTAAAATAAATAATTATCAGAAGAAAAAAATTGCTTCTGAGGCGAGGAATTATTAATTTACTTGAAATTCTCGGATTTTCAGAAAATCCGCGAGACAAAAATAAGAACTACAGTTTCCCTACCTTCTTTTCATTTTAGCGTTTGGAGAGTTTACTTGAATTAAAAATAAAAAAGAAAAATTTGTATCCAAAACGTTTTAGAGAAAATTTTTTTTCAATTTTTTCGTTGAATTAACGTTGGTAACTTTAGTTTCATCTGAAGAACAACATTGATCGACGAAAAAAATTTATCTAATCTATTCGAATATTACTTTTCTTCGTGGGAATAATTTTCTTTTCTGCCGAAAAATTAATGTTGTTTTTGTGATTGCGATTAAAATGTCATTTTTACTTGGATTCTTATTTCATCATAAAATGTAAATAGTCTATTCGGTTCTATTCTGGTGACCTTTTTCAGTAAAATATTTTCTGAAACATATAGATTTAGTAAACATTCTGTTTACATTTAGTAACATGATATAGCAGAGTTGCCACAGGTCAGGGAAATCAGAGAATTCAGGGAAAAGTCAGAAAACTTTAACAAAAGCGATGGAAAAAGCATTATATTTCTAGAATTGATAAAAAATTCTGGTGTTTGGTAACCAGAAACGTTTGAAAATTTTTAAAATTATTTTTAGAGTAAATCAAAATATTCTTTAGGATCAGAAAGAAAGTCAAAATTACGTCTGAAGATTAAAGAAAAGTCAGGGAAATACAAAACAAAATTTTTGTGCCAACCATCAATTATAGAATATGAAATTGAATTTATTTTAAAATTTTAAATAATTGAATTTAAGAAAGTTTAAAACTTGAATTTTTTTGAAATCTTAATTCATGTGAAAAAATAATTAATAAAATAATAATGATTAAATATTTATACTAAAAGGAAAATTATTCACTTTCCGAATAAGTTTACAATAAAAGATATTAACAAATAAACGTATTTGAAATACTTTCTTGAGTATCATATAATTTTTAAAGTGAATGAGAGCATTTGTTAGGGTCAGGAAAAAAGTTAAAATTCTGTCTGGAAATTCAAAATCAAATTTTTGTGGCAACCCTATGAAGATTTGCCATTTTTTTCGTACAATCTAACAAAAACACATATTGTCAATACTTAAAAGAGTAAAAGTTGTTTTTTATTAATTAAATCAATTAAAATGGAGATTATAAACTTTATCAAAATTTGATTGGAAAAATTAATATTTTTTCCTCTAAATTGTTGATTATAAACGGAAATTTCACCAAAGTGTTAATTCTTCTTATTACACTTAATAGTCTTATAATTTAATTAATTAATGTACACTAATTATGTAAATTATAATGCAACCAAGTGCAATTTTATTCAGCTTTGTCACGAACTGTTCATGACGTTCGTGATTACTAAATGACATATTAATAAAGAGAAAGAAAAAAAATTGAGTTCCAAAAATTGTTTCACATAGAGAATGAAAATCATGTAGAAAAAATATATAATATGCAATATATTTATATTCCATTTTGCTTGCAGGTGTCCGATCGAGTAGTGACTTCAGTAAGTCCAGCGCCGCGAGCAACCAGCGGCGACGAATCAGTTCGACCCTCAAGCACAGGAAGTGTCTGTTCCCTAAATCCAACACCCAGTGCGGCACCAAGCCCGGCACCAATTCCAAGTCCTGCGCCCGCTCCGAGTCCAGCGCCATCAATAGTGCCGAGTCCAGCTCCAAGTGCACCTGGTACACCCGCCAAGGCGAATTCCACGATTGACAGTGAAAAATCAAATAGTCCAGCTCCACGACCGCCGAGCAGCACCAAATATCCAGTGCATAAATTGAAGAAGGCCTGGCTGCAGAGGCACTCGGGCGAGGACGGCACGGAGGACACGACGGGCGTTGTGGGCAGTGGTTCATGCGTGACATTGCCACTAAATATTGCTCAAGCACCTTCGCAACCATTGAATAACAAGGAACGTGAGACGACGCCGACCACAACAACCACCACCACTACTAGTTTACCCAGCGCCGTCAATTCAATTCACAACATTGGAAGTATGGCAGTGAATAGTATAAACAAAACAAAAGTCACTGGCAAGAGTGGAAGGAAGCCAGCCAATAAAGAAGCAGTCAACGGACACGCAAACGAGGCAAAGAGTTTGCAGGAGGATTCGTCAAGTAGCGATCCAGAGAGGAAGTCACCACCAAAACGAAAACCACCCAAGGTATCTATCTAAGATTTAATCTCCATCGCGATTGAGACTTTTGATGAGGGGAAAGAATAATTACCAACTACACTTTTAGAACATTCCTGTCAATTTACACTAAAACTTAAATCTTCCTTTAAAAAAAAACCGAATTGGAAAACTTCTTTAGAATATTACAATTTAAAAGCATCTTCACTTTTTGTATTCAACTTCCTTTTATTTCAATGCTTTTAAGCCAAAAGCAACAGGTGATCAAAAGAAATTTTCAATTTTAGCAAATATTATTTACAAAATTCATTTCAGTCGAAATTTTGTTAAATCATAAATTCCCACTACAAATTCAAAAAATTCAAAATCAATTTAAATTTAAAAGAAAATACGAAGAAAGAATTTCAAATCAAACTTTAAAAATTTTTTATTGTATTTATTTATTAGTAAATAATTTTCAAAAGATAATTTTCTATTAAATAACAAGTAAATTACATAATAAAAAATAGCGGTTAGTTTTACCGACACTTAATTACATTACTAATATATTAATTATTACTAATTTGTCATCGTATTAAAAAATTCGCATATTTCTATATCATCCGAAGTCTCAATTGTTCGAAATTATAAAATTCACAACTGGCATAAAGCTTTAGCACCAGCTTTTTAGAAAATTTTGTGATCTCCAAAATATCGTGTTTCATAATTTTTCAATTGATTGCATGATTAGAATTGTCTGGTTTTTTTTTTCACAAGAAAGGGGCACGGTTTTATATTATGTTAACGTAAAAAGAAAAAAACTATTTGCTAAATTCCAATTCAAATTATTCCAGAATCAGTACAAAAAAAAGTAAAAACTGAAATCACAATAATAAAGAATAATAAAAAAGACAATAAAGTAAATATAAAAAATAGAAGTAAGACATTGTAAAAATAATAGAAAGAAAAGTAGAATGAAAAGTAGAAAATAGTGAAAAGTAATAGAAAAACTAATACAACAAATAATAGAACAAATAGTATAATGTATAATATGATTAATAAATAATATAAAAGTACCAAAATAATTTTATTGATGAAAAGAACAAATATGAAAAAATTACTTTTATATTATTTAATTTTCAAATTAAAACGTTAATTGGTATTTTTGGTTTTTAGAGCATGAAGTGTGCGTAAGTGTGTTTTAGATTGTTTTTTTTAATAATACTAATTTAAAATATTTTAATTCTTTGAAAGCTTCTATTAAAAAAAAATTTTAATAATAGCAAATTTAATTTCTTGAAAAGAGATTTCTAAAATCTATTCGACGGAAAATCTTTTTATTAATGTGAGCAAAAAAAACAATAATAAATAATAATATTATTAAATAACAATAAGTTTAATGATAACAACAATTAATTAAATAGGAGGATAAAAAATTAAATTACATTTTGAAAAACTATATTAGAAAATGAAGAATAAATTGCAGAATTTAAATATTAAATTAGAGAATTTAGTATAAAATTTAAATAGAGCAAAAAATATAATTAGAATATTGAATAAAAATTAAAAGATTAAAATTAAATTAATGATTGAAATTAGAAAAATAAAAAAAAGTAATTAGACAATTTGAATTTCCCACCAATGTTTTTAAAGTTACGTCACCGGAAAGGCGCGCGCAACCGCTGCATCCGTGCGAAACATGGTCAGTGTAATGGCGGATTTGGCGTTGGCAAGTTGTTAAATTTGTGTGTCATTTTGTGTCGAGAAATTCACCGGAAATAGAAAAAGAATATTCGGATATTATTAAATATTTATAAACAAAACTTATCGAAGATGTTTTATTCATATGATATGGTAATTATCTCAATTTTATTACATCACAAAAAGTCACTATTCAGAAACTTAACCTCAATTTTTAATTTATCTGTTCTTTCCGATTTCTGTTTCATTTTTATTGTTTATAAACAATGTATTGAGTAGGAGAAAGTTAATTTTCACTAGAATTATTCATCTGGATATGAATTTTTTGCTGTTAGTATAAATAGCGCATGATATAATATAAATTTTTTCGGAGTAAAATCGCGTGGTTGGCGTCCTTTGTCCTTGGACATAATTTGTTTGCTTAACTTGTTTTTTTTTTCTTCTAAAAACTTTGTTTTTGGCGAGAAAAAAATACTTTTATTATAATAAAAAATTTATCTATTTGGGAAAAAATTGATTTTGCGTTTTAAGACGAAATTCGTGTTTTCTTTGTTGAAAGGTCCTTTTATCGTGCGTACATGTCTTCATACGTATCGATTAAACGTAATTGAGCCAGCAGATGTTTTTATACCTGTTCCCAGGGGTATTATATTCGTGCTTCTTTTTCAATATATTCTTATTCTTGGAAACTTTGGAAACTTAATAAATGGGAACATAACCTCAATTTTAAAAAGTTTGTTTTCATATTTTATTTTTACTATAAATAAGAATATTTAATTTCTTTTAGGGTATATTATTATTTCTTTTATCTTTTTCAATTAAGTTTAGATGGTTTGTGATAATTGTTAGAATTGTTAGGATGAGCATGACTAAAACTAAAATGAAACTAATCGCTTTTAATATTTACAAATAATGAAGCTTTATATAAAGAAGAATTTGAATGGTATCTGATAAAGATGCTCATGTGCTTTGATATCAGTATATAGACGCATTTCGCAGATACAGGCCTCGGATATTGTAACATTTTTGACTTTTATCGACTATGTATTTTCAAAAAATGCGACTTTTTTCGACTTATTTTCAAAAATTACGACTTTTCTTCTGAATATTGCAATAATTTTTAGTATAAAATGCAACTTATTTTCGAAATTTATAATTGAAAAGAGTTTCAATAAATATTGAAATTTTGTAAAATTTAATTAAAAATAATTGATTTTTTTTAAAGTGTTTTTAAAAAATTTTTGAAAATCAACATTTGAAGAATTTTAATTGCAAATTTTGAAAATAATTGAAATTCAATTCCTCGGAAGAATTTAATTTTTAAAACAATTTTTAATATATTTCGAATACATTCAATTATTTTCTAAAATCTTAATAAATCCTTCGAAACATATCAATTATTTTTATAAATGGTGTAAAATTCTTCGCAAGAATTCAATTATTTTTATAAATAGTAAAATTCTTTGCAGGAATTCAATTATTTTCAAAACACATTTAATTGAATTTCTCGGAAGAATTTAAATATTTTCAAATATTTCCATAAAATTCAATTATTTTCTAAAATTTTTAATAATTTCTTCAAAACAATTTAACTATTTTTATAAATTACTAAATAAATTATTCAGAATTTACAATAAAAAAGAGTTTCAATAATTGAAATTTTGTAATATTTAATTGAAAATAATTGATTTTTTTCAAAGTGTTTGATAAAAATTTTTGAAAATAAACTTTAAAAGAAGTTTAATTGCAAATTTTGAAAATAATAATGATTTCTCAAAAATTTTAATGAAAATTCTTCAAGTGTAAATTTAAAAATGTTAATTAATGAAAATTAGCTACAAAAAAATTATTTAAAATTATTTTTGATAAAAATAATTCTTAGAATTTTTGCATTCTAATTTTTTAAAATTAAATTATTTTCAAATACATATTTCCAAAAATTCAAATACATACAAAAAATAATAACATTAAAATTTTTTACAATTATTTTTAACATTTTAACAACATATGACTTTTTTTAGATTTATTAAAATTTTGGAGAAATCGCGTTTATATTAATAATTAAAATTCTTTTAAAATTCAATAATTTTTTTAATAGAATTTACCAAATTTCAATCATTTGGAAATTTTTCAATTCTATATAATTGAAAAACTATTATCTTTCATAAATTATTTTAAAAATATTTTAAAAAAATTAATTTTAAGAATTTCTTTATTATAATTTTTTGAAAATTAATTAATAACTGAATTTTTGTATTTAAATAATAAATCTGTTTATATTTTTATAAACAGATTTATTTAACAAAAATTAAGATCCTGAAAACACTCTAAGTTAGATTTAAATAATTGAATTATCTAAGAACTTTCGGATAATTATTAAAAATAATTGATTTCGAGAAGAAGTTTGATTAAAAATTGTAGAAAATAATTGAATTTTAAGAGAATTAAAGTTGTAATTTTTAAAAATTATTAAATTTCAGAAGGTTTTAAATAGAAATTTTTTAAATTTGTATAAAAACAAACAACAAGTATTTAAATATTTATTTAACGAAATTATTCAAGTTTTAAATAATTAAATTTAGAAATCAGTGAAATATCAGAAGAATAAAAAATAAAATTTTTGTGATGACACTGAATTAAATAAACGACTTTTTCGACTTTTTTTCTATTTTAAATCGACTAAAGCGACTTTTTTTGCACCTTAAAGTTGATTCGAGGCCTGCAGATAAGAAAAAAAAAAGATGAATGAATGTTTTTAAAAAACAAAAGAGTTTTGGAAGGGGGTAAAGAGATATAATCGTACTAACTATATGCATGTTTCTTCTAATTGAGAAGGCCTTTATCTATATGTTAGATGTAGAAAATAATTGTAACAGATGTGAGCGGTGCTGCATCGTTTATAAATTCGGTAATGGCAATAATGGCAATAATGGCATAGCTGAGTAGAAAAACAGCAAGTAGCTGCGGCAAGAGCATGAACTTCCTGACTACTTAATAATCTGTGCCCTGTGGTAGGTAAAACGAAAGAAGGGAGCCGCACGGAAACAGCAAGCGGTCGCAGAGGATCATCGACGGAGGAAAGACGACAAGCAGGGAGGAGGTACCGGGGCGGGGAGCGAATCTAGTAACGAGAGTGAGGCTGGATCGGTTAGCGACACCAGTGAACAGTTAGGCTCCGTGCAACCTGCCTCAAGAGGGCGACATACCGCCGCCAATTCCAACAATTCCTCGGGAAACGGTTAGTTGACGTAGCTTCTTGTAAATGGACTTCCCGTCAGGTGAACTAACCATTCACTTGCAGGGTAAGTGCTTCGCGTTCCATGATCGTTTACGTTTTTAATCGCCTCACACTCCTTTTTCTGAAAAAGCAAACAAAACAAAAGAAAAGAAAAAAAAATGAAAAATGATGACCACGAGAGTTCTTGATTAACCATGAATGTTTTCACGAGCTTTTTAACACTGACGGACTTTTAATTTTTTTTAAAAGAAAGGCTTATTTTTGCATGAGACCTGGATTGATTGTCAATTATTATTAATTGGGTGAAAATTTTTGATTTCCAGGTACCAACAAAGAGCCAAGAAAACGGGGCCGACGACCAAAGACCTCGAAGGGCAGCGACGTAGGCGAAGAGCAACAACCACGATCAAAAAAGGAACGAAGAGACGATAGTACGGGTGGCGGAGCTGGTGGTAATGGGCCTGGTGGTGGCGGCAGTGGAAAAAGTGATCCCTTTCGTAAGCCTTCGATCTCGCAATTAAAAAAAACCGGCGAAAGTTGGTTACAAGATGGAAATTGTTGTGAGGTCGCGCCAAAATTGGCCAAGTGCCGCGAATGTCGAATGACACCACATCAACGCTCAAAGAATCTTTATCAGAATATATTCTGTCGATTCTATGCATTTCGTAAATTACGCTTCACGAAAAATGGACAATTGGCTATCGCGGGTTTCAGCGATCCTCACAAAGATGCCTCCGATGTAAGTTTTATCCACCAATAACTATGCAAAAAAAATCTATTTTTCAAAAATAGTATTATCCTTTATTTTTCTTTAATTTATTTTAATCAAAATGATGTAAAGAAATTTTTTTGAATACAGTGATAGAAATTATAATCACGAGCTTTTTAACACTGAAATTGATTTTAATTACTATTTGAAAAAAAAATTAGTCACAAGGACGTATTTTTTAATTTTCCTTGCCCTTTTCCTTTTTTCCAGGAAGATTTATGGCTTTGGTCATCGGGGAAAAGTTTAACGATCAAGGAGGAAAAACCTGATAAAAATGAGAAGGAAAAGGAGAAGAGTGAGAAGGAGGATTTAGATTTGGAAATGGCTTATCGCCTTTTGTGTCAAGTTGGCGATCAATTCTGTGATTTGCTTCATCAGGAGAAGGACGCACTTCATGAGCACATGGTTGAAGGTATATTCACTTTATTCATTTGTTTAAAATATCACGCACTGAATGTAAATAGTAACAATGTCTCATATCACATTAACTCACTTGGATCATTTTTAACTCATTTTAAAATTTTTTTACATTACTGAATGGAATGTCTTTTCTAACTCGACTTTATTTCAATTCATTCTTAACATTGTCGTACTTGTTGATTAATTATCCTAAAATTTTTTAGTATGAGTAACAAGATTTTTGATTTATTACAGGCCTCGGATATTATGACTTTGTTCGATTATTTTCAAATTATGCGACTTTTTCGACATTTCTTCCAAATTTTGCTACAAAATAACATATTTGCAGTATAAACTGCAATTTATTTCCATTTTTATAGTGTAAAAACCATAACTATAGACAAATTTTTGAAATATACAATTGAAATGAAAATAGATCATTTTTTTTTCAAGTATTTTATTACAATTTTTAAAAATTAACTTTTAAAGAATTTTAATTGAAAATTTTGGAAATAATTGAATTCTCAAAAATTTTAATGTGAATAATCTTCAAGTGAAAATTCAATATAAAATAAAAAATTCAATAAAATTTGACTATTTTTCTAAAATTTTTTAAAAACTCGATTATTTTAAAAAGATTTTAACAAATTTTAATTATTTTTCAAAGATTTTACTATATTTAAATTATTTTTTAAAAGATTTTACTAAATTTAAATTATTTTTTAAAAGATTTTACCAAATTTTAATTTTTTGGACATTTTTTAATCGTATGTAATTGTAAAACTATTGTCTTTCAAAAATTATTTAGAATTATTTTTAAAAAGTTAATTTTACGAATTTCTTTATTAAACTGTTTGAAAATATTCTACCTTAATATCTTTGAAAAGAAAAATGAATGGTTTCAATTGTTATAAAAAATTGAATTTTTGTATTTAAATAATTGAATTCTCGAAGAACTTTCGGAAAATTATAAAAAATTAATATAGATAATTGATTTAGAGATGAAGTTTAGTTAAAAATTGTAGAAAATTATTGAATTTTTGGACGGGTTATAGTTTTAATTTTTAGAAATGATTAAATTTCAGAAGTTGAAATTTTTTAAATTTTATTTCCTGTGAAAAAAGAAATAAGAAGTATTTAAATATTTATTTAGAAAAAATTATTATTAATTGAATTTAGAAATCAGTGAAGAATCAGGGAAATACAAAATAAAATGTTTGTGACAACACTAAATTAAATTAAAGTCGATCCGAGGCCTGTTATTACTATTCAATAAATTTGTAATATATTGTCAATGTTATTGTTTTATTATTATTCTCATTAATATTAGAAATGTTATTCAATATTAGTTATATGTATATGTGTATAACATCATTGTTTTTGTGTTGTGATTGTGAAATAATAAAAAGAAGCCATGTTCTAATTTTGGGTTCGCATGAATTAACACGCTTTTTGCTTCGATTATGCATTGATATTGACAGCGAGTTCGGGGGTTGTAGACGGAACTGTTGCCTGGAAGCGAGTCGTTCAAGGAGTCCGTGAAATGTGCGACGTTTGCGAGACAACTCTATTCAACTACCATTGGGCATGTGGAAAATGCGGATTTGTTGTCTGCATCGATTGCTATAAGGTAACTAAATATTTATATATCTTTTTTTAGATTCGTAACTAAAAGCGTTCGAAATTCCAAATTATAATATAATCGAAATCAAATATGATGTAAAACATTTTTTTGAATTCAAGTGATAGAAATCAATCACGAGCTTTTTAACACTGATTATCGATTAAAATTGAAAAATTAATTTATAAATAAGAGAGACAAATTTTTGACGAATTTTTAAATTTGTTTTAATAGAGTCGGAAAAATGGCACTGTTAAAATCTGGGGCGAAAGTGGAAAGGACAGAGACGACTTCTCATGGTTGTTGTGCACGAATAGACAAATTCATGAGCCGGCGAGATTAATGCTCACGCAAATAATCGCTGGCGATAGTCTTGTACAATTGGGTCAACGTCTTCACGAGTGCCGCTGTGAATGGGGTATTCCGCAATATTGCAATTGCTCGGTTGTCACTCAAGTCAATGTGAATGAAGTACTTAGAAATTTGATAAAAGGTGATTCATTAACAATCATGAACGGTAATGTGAAACAAGAATCAAAGGACTCTAAGAAAATCGAATCGAATGGTTCATCTGAGAATAAAACAAATGGCGAGGATAAAAATTCACCACTAAATTGGCTCGCTGACGTTGCTTTACAAAATGAAGATAAAAATGACAGCGGTTCAAGCTCCGATTCGGATGAGGATCGCGAGGGTAATTATTCCACATTACGTGAATTATTAATCAGGCCTAATCAATCAAACAAATCAAATGGCAGTGGTTCGAGATCAAATTCACCGACAAACAATACAAATAATTCGAATAGTAGTTGTACGCAGAATGCAACATCGAATAATGTCTCAACGAAGAGTAGTAAAAAATCGAAAATGGATACATTGGATGAAGTGATATCGAGTGTTATTGAGCACAGTGTGAAAAAGGAGAAGGATGGCGGCGGTCTTGACAATGATGAGAAACCACGTGAACTGAAGCATTTCGTGAGGAGGTACAAATGGACACAAAGAGGTCGTGAACCTTTGCCAATTAGAATAATGACATTGACTGAAAGCAAGAGTCTTTATCCCGATGTACCGCATGCATGGTTATGTGATGGAAAATTACTCCGATTAAACGATCCAAATAATCCCAATAATTACAGGATATTCCAAGATCAATGGAAACGTGGACAACCGGTGATTGTTTCTGATGTTTCGAAGGCATTGGATAAGGATCTTTGGCATCCGGATTCATTTGGCAGGGATTTCGGCGACGAGAAGAATGATCTTGTTAATTGTATGACTGGTAACTTGGTGCCGAATCAACCAATGCGTAAATTTTGGGAGGGCTTTGAAAACTTTTCAAAAAGATTAAAGGACGATCGGGGAAATCCAATGTTATTGAAATTAAAAGATTGGCCGCCGGGCGAAGATTTTGCTGAATTATTGCCGTCCAGGTATGCTGATTTGATGAAAGCTTTACCACTCTCTGAATATACACATCGAACGGGACGATTGAATCTCGCGAGTCGTTTACCCGAATGTTTCGTGAGGCCCGATCTTGGACCGAAAATGTACAACGCTTATGGTTCCGCTCTACATCCAAATAAGGGCACAACGAATCTTCATTTGGATATTTCGGACGCTGTCAATGTCATGGTTTACGTTGGAATTCCCAAGGACGGCGACAATGACGAACATATTAAAGGTAAATTCTTTTAAAATTGTCATTTCATTTTTTCTCAACATTAATAAAACAAACGCAGGGTGGCCACATGTCAGGAAAATGTCAGGGAAACAAAATTTTTGTCAGAGAAATTAAGAAAATTGAGCCTTTTTCGACTTTTCTTCCAAGCATTGCAACAAAATACCACAATTTTTAGTAAAAAAGTGCAATTTATTTTTATTTTTATACAAACACAGAAAAAAGATTTCTTTGAAACAAAGAAATCGTTTTTTTAAACTCTCTTTGAATCAAAGATAAAATTTGTTTCAGTTAAAAAAAGTTTTCTTCACTTTTACGAAAAACAATTTTCGAGGTTTTTTAAATCAAAGAAATTTTTTCTTTGAATGATATTTTTGATCCAAAGAAAAATTTCTTTAAGACAAATAAGAGGCCGAGGACATTCAAAGAAATTATTTCTTTGATTTATTTATTTCTTTGACTTAAAGAAAGATTTATTAAGTCCAAAGAAATATTTCTTTGAGTCAACAAAAAACAGTTAAAGAAATAATTCCTTTAAATCAAAGAAACATTTTTTTGACCCTATAACAATGCACAAATTTCTTTGATTCAAAGAAACTTTCTTTGACACAAAGAAGCTTTTTTCTGGGTGTAATGCAAAAAATAACTATAAATAAAAATTTCCAAAATTGTTTTCGAATCATTTTTTAAGATAATTAAATTTTTCAAATATATCTATAATAAAAATCTTTCTGAATAATTGAAATTTTGTAAAATTTAATTGACTTTAATTAATTTTTTTCAAGTATTTTGATACAATTTTTGCAGAATTTTAATTGCAAATATGGAAAATACTTAATTGAATTATTAAAAAATTTAAAGAAAAATTCAAGTACACACAAAAATAATAACATTTTAGAATTGAAATTCTTGAAAAATTTCATAATTTTTATTTATAATTTATACTTTTTTAAAATTCAATTATTTTTTAAAGATTTTAGCAAATTTTAATTGTTTGGAAATTTTTCAAAATTGAAAAACTATTATCTTTCAAAAATTATTTAAAAATATTTTTAAAAAATTAATTGTAAGAATTTCTTTATAATTTTTTGAAAATATTATACCTTAATAACTTAAGAAAAAACTATGGAAAGTTACAATTATTATAAAAAAATCGATTTTTTGTATTTAAATAATTGAATTCTAAAAGAACTTTTGGAAAATTATTTAAATTAATTGATTCAGAGATGAAGTTTAGTTTAAGGGCATTTGAACCTTGATGACGTTACACTTTGTGCAAAGCATGTGTGACGTCATCAAGGTTCAAATGCCCTTAAAATTGTAGAAAATAATTGAATTCAGGAAGGATTATAATTTTAATTCTTAGAAATTATTAAAATTCATAAATTTTGCTCATTTTCCGTAAATATTTATATTTTCTTGTAAAAAGAATTTTGTCAGAAAAAGTAATTTTAATGTTATTAATAATTGTCAGGGAAATTGATAAACTGAAATTTGTGACCACCCTGAAAGGAAACTCATAGGAACAATAAACTCTGGATAATCAAATGTTTTTATTAAATAACTTCAATAGTTATAAAACAATAATCATTAAAATATTTTAATCTTGATAAAAATATTATAATGTAATTTGTAAACGTAGATTATTAAAAGTTAATGACATTGAAAAAAACCATAATTTTGATTAGTTTAATATTGAGATTTTATATAGAGGACATAATGATAGAAAAAGAATTGTTGTCGCAAACATTTCGACAACAAAAATCTCTTTTTCTTTTTATATAAATAGGTATAAAAAGAAAGAGATTTTAGTTTTAATAAAATGATAGACACGACAATTTTTAATAATTCATATCAGAGTAATATCAAAATTTTAATCTAAATTTAATAACAAATTTTTTTGTTTAAATCTGGTTTTTTCTGAATTATTGATGAAAAACGATGTTAAAAAGTTCTTAGACAAAAGATTGAATAGAAATTTTTTGAAACTCCCTTGGTTAAAAAAGTTGTGAACTTCACCAATGTTTTGATTTTTGTTTTTAACAATGTGACGATTGTCAGAGTTTGGAAATTGATGAGACTTTATTCATTCTATGAGTTTTGTTTGTTCGTTTTATTAATGTTGAAAAAATACAGATCGAGGGAATATTTTGTATGGTTTCATTTTTGTTAGTTTAATTTACGTGGAGTTATTTTACTAGAAAAATAATATAAAATGATTGTGATTGTAAAAATTTTTTGAAAATGTGATTACAGAGGCACTAAGAGCAGTGGATGAAGCAGGCTGTGATATTTTAACTCGTCGTCGTGTTCGTGAGCGAGGTGAAGCGCCAGGTGCGCTTTGGCATATTTACCCTGCACGGGACGCAGATAAAATCAGGGACCTCTTGAATGCAGTCGCTCTGGAACGTGGAGCTCGTTTAGAGCCGCATCACGATCCAATTCACGATCAGAGCTTCTATCTTGATGGACCACTTCGGGAGCGATTATACCGTGACTATGGCGTTGAAGGGTAAGGAAATATTACTTTTATTAATTAACTTCAACACTTTTAGTTGCTAAATTTAATTATACAACAATTACACAATTATATAATTAATTTATAATTTAATTGGGATTTTAGATATGCAATAGTGCAGTGTTTGGGCGATGCGGTGTTTGTTCCGGCAGGTGCGCCACATCAGGTTCGCAATTTACACAATTGCATCAAGGTGGCTGAAGATTTTGTCTCGCCGGAAAACGTATCACACTGCTTTCATCTAACTCAGGAATTCCGTGCATTGTCCGACACACACAGCAATCATGAGGACAAATTGCAAATCAAGAATATTATCTACCACGCAGTGAAAGATTCATTAACCGTCCTGGCCAATGCGAAAGACGATGCTCTTTCGAAAGCACCTAACAACACCGAGGTAAAAGTTAAAGATGAAACGTAGCGCAAATCCTTGATCAGGATCATAAGATCTGCTGTTCGTTAAAAAAAGAAAAATTGACTTAATTGTCATTTTTTTAAAGAGAAAAACACGTGCTCCGAAAGTCGGTGCTCCTTTTAAAAAGCAAAGTGAAAAATGATTTTTTTTGGAGGGTGCGGAAGAAGATCAGACGGAAAATTTCTCCGAAGGAAATACTTCTTCACACACAAGGATTGAGAGGAGTTTGTGATATTGTACGAGTAGCTTGAAATTTTAATTTCGATTTTTTTCTCCTTTTTTTATTGGCTGAGCCAATTATTTTTTGAAGTTATTCGTTATTTCTTCCTTTTGAGTTTTTCTTCTTCTTTTTCTTTTTCTTCTTCTTCAACTTCTTCTAATTCTTCTCTATTTTTCAAAATATCTCTCGTTATTATCGGGCAATGAAGTCCGTGAGATTCTCAGTTAATCTTGGAACGGGCCAATTAGGCCCAGTGTCCATTACCATTGTGATACCCGATGGACTTGGATCATACATTGTTTGTAATTAATTATATCGTGCCTGTATCTAATACACACTTGTCTATATGATTATAGATGTAGATAAACGATAATTTTTAAGAAATTCCTAAATAGCAATTACCGATTTAAAACAAATTTTGTCTAGGAAGGTACTTTGTGCAATTAGAAGTCGTCGACGTTAGGCGGATCAACGTTTTTTGTATCGGATCTGTTTTTGTGTGCTCTCATGGTTTGGTGTTCTCGATGTTGTCCGAATTCAAACGAATGGACGATATATTTTCTCTCTTTGTAATATCGATACGTTATCGAGTGACTTGAAAGAAAAAGCACTGCCTAGTTTTTTCCTTGAATTCAATTTTTTAAATAAAAAGAAAAAAATTGTGCATAATTTTCCTTTTTATTTTTGTAAATTCTTTAGTCAAGAAAAATATCGTCCCTTCTGAATCGTTTTTGAACTATGAGATAATTACCGGATCTTTGTATATACATATTATATATATATAAATATTTTACTGCCTTTCGCAAATCTAAACTAAGAAAGAAAGAATAAAAAAAACCAAAAAACAAATTCTTACATTTTCTTGATATTGCAAAAAAAGAAAACTAATCCAAATACGCTTTCATCGTGATAATTCCGAACTTTATAGAAGTAACAATCGAGAAAAAAAACATGTGTTATTTTTATCGAACTGTAGGAGCCGTCTGATGAAAGAAATAATGTAATGTCGATAAAAGCAAAAGCATAATGCGAAACTTTTTAAGTGCCAATGTTGAACGATTTTGGAAAGTAAAATGCACTAAAAAGCACTTATTGAGAATTCGCAAATAAATAATTTATCGAGTTCCTAACGTTCGACAGCCCGTATCAAGTAATTCACTCGAAGTGACAGCGATAGTTGAAATTTTTTTTACATGAAAATGTCCAATATTTCGAGACTCTCGGCTGATAAAAAAAGTACCTTCGGTTTTTGAACGCCTCTACTTTCCCCAATTTTGTAAAATTGTAAAAATAGAGAATGAAATTATAACAGGAAAAGAACACCAGTATCCTTGATTTAAATTGCAAATCGGAAAGATTTAGCGTTTTCAATAAACTGCATTTAAATCATGCTGGGAGTCTCAAGTAAGTCCAAGGCGCCGTTTGCAAAATAAACAAAACAAAACAAAATGAAAAACACATCTGGAATTTGCAATTTCTTTGATCTCAATCTTTGTCTAGCATACAACGACTCGATTAAATAATAACTCACGAGTAATAAAAAAAACAAAAAAAAAAACCAACAAATATGTTAGCATTAACAAGTACTTTAATCATAACGAAAAAAAATTGTAAGCAAGAAAAAAATACCCTTATTATCAGTGAACGGGCAGTGTATAAAGTTGTAGGAAGCGTACTCTATGTATTATTAATGTCTCTGCAAGACAAAGCTATTGAAAAAAACTCTCGCTACGTGTAAATACATACAAACATTTATACATATATATAATATACATGTATACATATATAAATATGAAAAAATGCCTAGTTTTTAAGTGATTAAAAATTTAAAAAGAAAAAAACACTCCACCACACGGAAAGCACTTTACACGCGTAGATAGTTAGATTCTATCATTATCATTATTCGAATAATAATAATAATGATTATTATTATTATCACTATTTCGATTTAATTATTACGAAGAATTATGATATTTAAATGTTGCTGAAGATGCCGAACGTAGAAAAAAGGGGGGTGAAGAGAGAAAGATAAAAAAAAGAGCGTTTAGTGTTTATTGTAAAATGAGAATGATTCTTTTCAAAGAAAGAATACGTGTGATAGTGCGCGTCCGTGAATGGCTCAGAAATATGGTACGTATGAGAGAATAGTGAGATCGTCGATTGGGGGTGAAGTGTATGGACAAAGACAATGTACAGCCCTTAAATCCTTAAAAAAAAAATTGATAAAAAAAACTAAATCTACCCCAGTGTCCTATTCTATCCCATTCAACGGTTATCCTCAATCAAGGCGGTTATGAACCGCAGGTCAGCGGTTATGAGTATAATTTTTTGTACTGTGTAAATGTAAGAAGATACGTTTGAATAAGAAAATGTTTATATTATGAAAAAACGTGTTTTACTCACTTTTTTCCAATTAATCCTCTCCTTCCTCTCACAATCGTAATTATTTATTCACTTAAAAATATAAATCAATAGTAAATATCTAGTTAATATAATTTTACATTTAACAATAATTATTAATTGAACATCTAAATATTAAATACTTGAAAGTTATTTCTTTTACATTCAAACTTTATATTTTATGTTTATTTTATTTTTAAAAGAAATAAGAATTTTAATTAATTAAAAATAGAAAAGTAGTTATCTATTTGAATTCAAACTAATTTAAATTGATTTCAATTCCGCGTTTTTTCAAAAATTAAAAAATCAATGTCCCAGAAATTTTTGCGAAACAAGGAACGCAAGGAACGCGAAATTATGGTTTGCGCATGCGCATTGGCGTAGTTTGACGAGCGCCATCTTGTGTTGTAAATGTTTAAACAGTAAGTTAAGCACGCAACACGCACGCCGCCATATTGGACACGGATGTTGTTTCTCCGGGTTGAAGGTGTTTACGCGGCTCTTTAACAAAATTCCAAAATATCGTCTATCAAGTTTTTAAATACAGAACAAGTGTCACTTTCTTTAGGAATTTATTGTTTTATCCAATAATTTGTGACAAATAAACAAAATAATGAGTGAGAGTGATAATGTGATGGAAAATTGTGCGACGTCGAGGGCACGCGATGATGAGAAAGCAATGGGTGACGTCCTGGCGAAAGAGAACAACGAGGATGTTTCACAACAGGAAAACACATTATCCGAAGATAGTCTCACGTTAAATTGTTTAAGGCATGATATTAATGATACGCCGGAATCTGATGCTAATGAACTTTCACCCACTGACACTCCCTTAACTAACTCTGTCGAGGTAAGAATTCTATCTTTTTTTGTTACAAAAAAATAAAAAGAATTCGCCCAGTTTGTCTCTCGCAGATTCTCATGCTTTCACATTTCTTTTTTTTTTTTTAGCACGCTTACATTTGTCCTTAATCTTCCCTTAGCATTAATTCGCGTATGAAAAGATTTTACCTCGGATTATGTCGCGGTACAGAGAGGATTCTGTATTCAATTCGTTGCATATGATTGGTATATTTAAAACAAAGGGAAAAACGAATAATTCGCATTTTATTTGCAAAAGTACGATATCAGTCATCTTTTTACGAAATTTGCTTTTAGAAATGTATTCCAAATGATCAAGTTATTAAAATAAAGGAACAAAAGTATTTTGCAAAGTATTCAATTACTATGTTATAGTTTTTCGTTCTGTAAATTGAATCGTTAATTTGCATAAACTTCCAGGAAACTTGTATATAGTATTTATACTTTAAATGTCAGTTTACTTATTCGATAATGTGTTGTTTGTGTTGAAAGTAAAGCCACCTACAGAATGTTAGTGAAAATGTCAGAATTATGAATAACTCTTAAAAAAATATCTTGTATATTTAATACAATAAAAATGGTTGTTTTTTGTAATTTGATAGAAAATGTAAGATAATATATAACAAATATTTTTCTTCTTTTTATATTATTTACTTTTAGATTTCACAATCATTGTTGTCACAATTATTGTTTTGTAAAAAATTTTTAACAATTCAGTTATTAAATTTGTCATTTGTTTTTTAAAATTCAACTTTTTTTATTTTTTCATACAATAGATCTAAATAAAAAAAAGTTTTTTATCTAATAATTTTTCTTAATTAGTAAAATAATGCTATTTTTGTAAAAAAAATGTGAACCTACTTTAAACATTATTTCAACAATTGTTTATTTAACTCAATAAGAGATTAATAATTTTGTATTAAATTTCATATTTAGTGAAAAATTCAGATTTAATTGCAGCAAACGATAATAACTACTAGTAATATTTTTTTAATAATTTATTAGTAATGAATACATTTAATATAAAACTTACAGCTCAATGCTAAAAATTGTAGAAATAGGAGCAAATTGAAGTCCACATCCACAACGTTGATCAACAAAAATAAATTGTTCACTAAGTAAATTAATTAAAGATAACGCATCAAGATTGCCACAAAAATAGTTAGAAAAAAAAGATTCATGTTTATTTTGATAATAATTATTGTACAATTGAATATTAAATTAAGAATAATACTTGAATGCATTAAACAAATGTTTTTCGTTGATCAACGTTGTGGACTTCAACTTCGTAAATAGGAGAATAAAAAGAAAAACTATTAACTTTTATCGTGTTAGTAATAATAAATAATTAATTTGCAAATTATTTAGCTCATGAGGTATTTAAGTTGAGCAACAAGCCAGCATGAATTTATAATCATTAGATTATTATTGCGATTCATTATGTATACAGTTTTTTTTTCTTACAACGATATAAAGAGAAATTCATAATTATTTTACTTTTTTTTACTTTTTCGTATTATTAATAATAATGATAATAAAATAATAATAAATAAAATAATTACAAAAATAATTCTCAACTAAGTAAATATTTAATTCAATTTATTTTTAATTTTTAGTATATTATTGTTTTTCAAAAACATTTAAATATTAAAAAAATGTCGTTCATTTGAATGTTCAAAACTTTAAGGAAATACTGATACATAAAAAAACTTTTTTTTATCACTAAATGACGTTTGAAACGAACGTTCGTTTATAAATTTCATATACGTCAATTTGTTATTTAAGAAAATTTGATAATAAAAATTATATTTAAAGTAAATTAATTTTTTTTAGTTTTCAGTCTTCGTTAGTATTTATTTTCGTTTATCTCAATCAGTTTTTTAACATTTATTTTGTGATTTTTGTAAGATTATATTTTTTTTACTTAGAAAAATATATTTGTGTTTATATTAAAATAGTTTTAGATTATTTTTTATTGTTATATTATTTTTTTTACAATTATATTGTTATTGTTATATGATCCACAAGTTTTGAGCGTGCAAATGAACGAAATATTTTTATGAATTACTAATTGCAGCAAAAATTATTTAGAAACTTTATTCAATTAATTAATGTTTTTGATTCATGACGCAAAATTGTTGTAATAAAATTTCAATTTGATAAAGAAATATATGAAAATTATTGTTATTGTATAATGAATTTACAATTATTTTATTCATATTATTTTAATAGATGGCGGAAAATTGTGAAAATTTTGATAATACAGAAATGGAAGATAACAAGGACGTGGAGGATAATAACGTTTTATTGGAAAGTAATAAGGACTCTTCGGAAAATTCTTCTGATTCCACTTCACGTCACGTTAAAGATCCTTGTCGATGTGAAATGTGTAGAGTCAAGAGGTAATATTTTTTATTATTATTTTATACGGAAATAATTTTGAAATTTTATATTAATTTCATTTTCTTCAATTTTTCTTTTTTAATAATAGGAGAATTCTTATGGAGGACATGGAAAGGGCATTGAGGCTAAATAGTCTTTGGACAGATTTAAGAAAACACATACATTCTGTTTATCACACAGCAATGACAACTTCTAATGTATCTCACTCGTCAGTTATTCAGAGTGATTCCTCTCGACAGAGCAGCCTACAAAATACTGTTTTACAGTAATTATTACTTGTTTAAAATTTTTTTTGGAAATTAAAATAATAGAATAGAATTTTATTTCTTGATGCTACAATTTTGTCTTACATCTCTTACATTATTAAATTAAAATATTTTACATTCAATTAACACAACTCTATTTTCTTAAATATGAAAATTATATTAAGTTTAATATTTGTTATTTAATTGAACAGCGTAAAATTGCGTAACAATTTCATAAGGTTAATTTTTAATGAACAATTTGTTTTTGCAGATTGTGTAAAAGTGATCCCCATCAACTTTCCATGAGGTTAGTGAGCCAAGCGCAGGAATTCGTGGTGGAAGTCAAGGTTCAACTTTTAACTCTTCTTCAAAATCTAAGGGTTAATCATTTGGCGGAAGTTTTCTTAACAAGTACGTTTATTTTATTTTAATTTTCATTTTTAGAAAAAATAATATTTTTTATATTTCTGTTTTAAAAATTAAAAACAATTTCTGTTTTAGAAATGTTGGATGGATACGATGCCCTGATAGCAACTGCCTTACAAGTTTCGCAGTTAATCAAACCAGTGGAAAAGGAGTATTTTCAGAAATTTAATTTAACATGGGAGTGTTTCAATAAAAAGCTTTATCAGGATTACGTTTATACGGATCCTTTAATCCAAAATAGACTTCCACCATTTATTGGACAGTTGAGGAAGTTGCTGCCTTTAAAAAGCACCGAATACCAGGGGCTCGTTCACAGGTATCTTGCGTTCGATGATGAAATGACAAGGGTCGGTAATCTCTGGCCGGAAGCTGTGCAGTTAATAGACAAACATAAGTAAGTTCGTGAATTAATTTTAAAGAATTTTTAATTTTTAATTCATAATGTATTTTTACAATTTTAAATCCATATTAAAATGTAAAATAACAGTAAATGAAATATAAATATAATTTTTTTTTCAGTATGGAACAAGCGGCGCGATTAATAAAATTGAGAAGATTCAGAAAAGGTTGGGAGACATTTACAACATGGTGGAAACAAGTGCAGCGGCAAGAAACGTATAAGAGACACGAAAGGTATGTAATTTTTGTTTCTTTTTTTGTACTAATTTTCTACATCTAATAAATTTAGTAATTAATTTGTTTTTGAATTAGAAAATTGATCCATTGGTAAATTTTTTCAGATTACAGGAAGTTAATAATGAATTATTGAAGGAATCTCAGGAAGTTAGTTCAACAGGTACTAACGGAAGAGTTCCAAGTCCAGTATGTCTTTTAGATACCCTAAGTATTCCTCCTAAACACGACATTGCACAATTTTTACTTGATGCTAAAACGTCACACCAAAGGTTAGTTGATGTTCTAAAGTCGATCATCGTTTCAAAGGACCATTTAACTATGAAAGATTATGGTATAAATATGCCCAATCATCCGCACATGAATGATCTCGAATTTCAATGTGGGTTCGAATGTGCATCGACTGTCATTCAGTCTTTTGCTACATTGATCGCAAAAAGGTAAAAGATAACTTGAACTTTACTGTAACGTTCAAAATCAATAATAATACATGTTAATTGAGAAATTTCGTTTTAGACGAACTAGAAGCAATTGCAGTGAAAATCATGTTGATCCGTCATTGACCATCGACGAAGAAAATTGTACTTACTGCACTTTGTCACCTCTCTTAAATTCTAATCTCTTCATGGTAAAAATAAATATCAATTTGTCTTTTTAAAATTACGTTATCAGGGCTCGAACTAAGTCCGTAAATCCCGTAATGGTCCTTAAATTTGCTTAAAGTCCGTGAAAGTATTTTTTTTTTTAAAAAGGTCCGTAAAGTCTGTAATTTATTTATTAATTTAGATATATAGAGAAAAGACGAAAAGATCGTAAATTTTATTACGATATAATTTGAAAAATTTTAGAGAAATTACAAATGATTGCAGAAATTCAATTATTTTCAAAATTTTTTTTAAATTCTTGTAAAAATTTCAATAATTTTTATAAATAATAAAATTCTTCTCCAAAATTCAATTATTTTCATAAATAATAAAACTCATTGCAGATTTTCAATTATTTGTAATACAATTTATTTTAATCGAATTCCTTGAAAAATGTAATTACATGTTCTTAAAAATTTTATTAAAATTCGTCGAAAGAATTCAATTATTTAAAAATTTATTGATAAAATTCCTTATGAGAATTTAATTTTAAGAAACATGCAATTATTCAATAAATTGTTTTTTTTGTATTTAAATAATTGAATTCTAGTAGAATTTTCAAATAAAAATTGATTTAAAAATGGATTTCAGTTAAAATTTTAAATTATAATTGAATATTAAAAGCATTAGAGTGTAAATTTTTAGGAATAATTGAATTTGGAAAAGGTGTCAAATTAAAATCTTTGAAAATCTGAATTTTTCATATTTATAATTAACAATTTTGTGGAATTAATTTTTTTTTTGATATTATTTTAAGTTATTATTTTCTAATATATATTTAATTGAAGAATTTACGAATAATTGAAATTTTGTAAAATTAAATTGTAAACAAATGAATTTGAAAACTCTCAAAGAACTTTTTCAAAAATTATTAAAAATTTATAGAAGAATTTTACTTAAAAACACGAAAAAAAATTTAATTTTGGAAAAGTTACAATGAATTATTGCAGAAATTAAATTATTTTCAAGAGTAATAATATTCTTCGCAAAAATTAAATATTGTTCAAAAATTATAAAATTCTTCTTAGGGATTCAATTATTTTTACAAATAATAAAACTCATCGCTTAATTTCAATTATTTTTAATACAATTTTAATCGAATTTCTGGAAAAATGTAATTGTTCTTAAAAATTTTATTAAAATTCGTCGAAAGAATTCAATTATTTAAAAATTTATTGATAAAATTCTTTATGGGAATTGAATTTTAAGAAACATGCAATTATTCAATAAATTGTTTTTTAGTATTTAAATAATTGAATTCTATTAGAATATTCTAATAGAAATTGGTTTAAAAATTAATTTCAGTTAAAATTTTAGATAATAATTGAATTTTGAAATTAATATTTTGAAAAAGTTTTATCGAATTTTTTTGAAATTATTTCAAGTTTTCATTTTCTAATATATATTTACTTGAAAAATTTACGAATAATTGAAATGTAAAATTGAATATTGTAAACAAATGATAATTGAATTGATAATGATTTTATCACTCGGTCATCTTTAATTATTATAAAACACGAAGAAATCGAACGATATCTTCATGTTTTATAGTTATGAAAAATTTGATTTCTAGTTTTAAGTAAAATGTTCTTATTTGACTCGGACTGGTTATATTTTTGTCAGTAATTGGTCCGTAAATTTCGCATTTTTAAATACTTTCACTGGTTCGAGCCCTGCGTTATAAAAATAATGTAGTCAAATGCGATTTTCATTTATAGATGAAGGAGCTGTCAACAGAAGAGGAATCACTTTCTAAAGACAAATCAGTCAATAACGATATTGCTGGTAATTAAAATGTTTTCTAAATTAAAAATTTTTCACAATATATTATATATTGTGAAAAATTTTTATTATATTTAATTTTATATTTTATATTATAAATTATAATAATTATAATTATAATAATAATAATAATAATAATAATTATAATTATTATTATAATTATTTTTTTTTTATTTTATATTATTTTTTTATATTTTTTTTTTTTTTTATTATATTGATTATATTTTATATTAATATTTTTGTTTGACATATAAAAATTGTTTAATACGCAGGAATGGAAAAATATATAGACACAAATTTTTCAGCCATCAAAGATCTTTATAATCATGTGAATTCAGCGATACCGGGTGATAATTTCGATACTTTGATAACGCAAGAAAATTTGTCAACAAATTTTGATAGCATTGAATCGAAAACACTCGTTGAATGTGAAACTGAAAATGATGATTCTGAGGAGAAGAGGCCTAATTGTGTCGCGGAGGATGTCGATTTTAGAAAATTTGATTTTCAATCTTGTCCCTGTGTCTATCAACATACCAAAGATATCGCTGAGAAACGAAAAGAAGTCGATAATCCACCTTGCCCTTGTTTGTTAAATTCAAAACGTAAACTCGATGCGTGTCCATGCTTAAGTACGAGTAAGTTAATATAATTGAATAAATGGTTTTAATTTAAAAGCTAAAAACTCATTATAACATAATGTATGAAATATTTATTTCTCACCTCCAGATGATATTGATATTATGCCAAATGGTCACTTGGAGGAGCAGCCCATTGCAGTGGCTACCCCGAAATCTAACGAGGAACCCCTGGAAGTTGTAATGAAACCAAGTTCGACGATTTCTGCTCAAATACAAACGAGACACTCGACGACGCAAACAAGAAATTCAACTCATCACCATAATCGCACTTCTTGTCAAGGTAATTAATTACTTTTCTCTTTTTTTGAAAATACAAAAAAGAATCAAGTCTGAAATTATTATTCCTACTTGAAAAACTTAATGAATTTAGTTATGAAACCTAATTAGATGAAAATAAAATGAAGATATTATGAGAACTTATTTGATGAAAAATGAATGCTGTATTTGGAAATGAAAATTATATGATAAAATCGAAAAATTCTATTTTTAGGTTCTGCGCATTCTCACGATGTCAAAACTTCAAATTCAAGTCACAAGGCTCACAATCATGGTTCACAGTCTTCCATCGCTTGTCACAAACAACACGTTGTCGAACACATTAAAAGAGTATCTTGTAGCGATTGTAAGTATTTATATTTGTTTCTCTGTGTAGAGGCAGAATTTCAATTGAAATATTTATACACTTAATAATTAATACAATTTTAGAGAATTTTCAAATAAGGACAAATTTACTAATTACTTGTGTTTTTATTTACGCACTATTGTATTATACACATACATTTTTGAGAAGCTCGTGGTAAATATTGTCTGTTTACGTTATTCTACAATGATTGATATTTTTCTCTTGCGTTGTAGTGAGTCCCGGTGACGGCGATTGTTCTGATTCAGGAAGCAGTCACGAAGATTCTTGTTCAACAAGTAGTTCATCGCCACGAGATTCAAATCGACATTGCGATTGCTGTTACTGTGAAGTCTTCGGTCACGGAGTTGTACGTTTCTAATTCATTTTCTTTTAATATTTAGTTTGAAAGTTTTTCATTTCATTTTGACATTTTAATCGTGAGTAATGGCGAAATTAGCCGATGAAAAAGAAAAAGATACGCGGAAAAAGGTTGTAAGTAAAATTTTCTTTTTGTTATTTATTTTAATTTTTATTTATTAATATAACGAATGGATTTTGCATTAAATTGTAATAATTTGAAAAATTTTGAATTTAGAGGGAAAATTTGCTTTTAAAATAATGAATTTTTTTTATTTTATAGACTTCTGTTGCTCTTGTCAGTCGTAATTATAACGAAATGAGGGATAGATTGAGACAATTGTTAACGAAAAAGAAAGCAACCAAGTGTAAAGCTGTGTGTAGCCCGTCAAAAAGTTCTGCGGAATCCTTGCCCTCTAATACAAATTCGGAATCGAAGACGACAACGTCAAGTCATTCGGCGCCAAGGTCCAATACACCTTTATCCACAGCTTCAACTGTTCTTCTTGATAATAGAGATCAAAGAGATTTAGACGCTTTACTCGAGTATATAGAGGGCAGTCAAAATGGGAAGAGAGATAATAAAAAGGCTGAAAAAAAGGCGCGACAGAAACAACGAAAGGTAATTTTTTTCACTTTTAATATATTTTAATTAATTTTCATTATTAAGATCAATTTGGATTTTAACATTTTTTCTTCTTTTTATTAAAGCTCGATGAGAAGCTTAAACAAGAGCGACTGGAAGACGAGAGACAGAAATTGATAGAAATACAAAAGAAAACGCCCGAAGTAACTATCACTGTTGTCGATCCTCAAAGGCCAATGCCACAGAGATTTCATTCACATCGAAATCTCCCGGAGGTTTCCATTCTTCCAGCGTCACCGCCTGTCGTGTCGAATGTTTTAAAACCGAATAATATTAAGAATAAGAAAAAAGACAAGTTTGAAACTCCCACTAACATTAACGTTACCAATAAAACTAACGCTAAAACGAAAACCACAGCTCAAGCAAATCAAAAGACTAAAAGCTCAATCTCCATTGACAGGGTCGATGGAATTTCAAATTCAACCCAAAACACAAAGAATAACAATAAAAAGGAGAAAGGCGGCAATGCGAAAGGCAATAAAACCGGGAATTTAAATAATAACAACAACAATAGTAAAAATACCGGTAAACAAACACAACCACCGCCTGCTCCATCTCCACCCCCGCCACCCATTGACGAATCCACATTGACGAAAAAAGAACGCAAAAAATTGAGACGCGAAATGAGAAAAATGGAAGAAGCCAAAAAGGAAACAGAAAATCAACTACAAATTGTGACAATAAAACGTGTCATGGAATCGAATAGTGCCGAACCAACCGTGACTATCACTCTCAAAGGTCAAACACCCGCTGAAGATAAAGTATTATTCACCCTCGTCAATGGACAAACGAAAGAGCCCACCAAGACCGAACAGGGACAGACAACTTCCGGGAAAAAGAAGAAAAAGGGCAAAAATACTAATAACTCGAATCAAGCCAGCAATAACAATCAAGTCAACACCAGTAATCAAGTAACTCAAAATAAAACCCAACAAACCAACGTCAAAACCAACAAAAACGAAAATAAAACTGTTAAACAGGCCGTTAAACAAACCACAAACAATGAAAAATCCAAAGGCGCAAAACAAGTCGATTCTTCAAAAAATCAACAGCAACAACAACAACAACAGCAGCAGCAGCAGTCTTCAGCCGAAGTGAAACCAACAAAGAAAAATAAAAAGAATTCCGAGAACAAAGAAAACGTCTCCCAGTCACAAAATAATGCCACAAAGAATAAAAATCAACAACAGAATCTCGTGAGCAAGAAACAAAATAAAAACAACTCGTCACCCCAAGTGCAGCAGGAAAAGAAACAACCCAATAATAACAGCAGTAGCAACAACAACAACAACGAAACGGGCAATAAGAAAGTGATGAAACAACAAGAGCAGAATAAAAATGTTCAAAAGGAAGCCAAAAAGAACAATAAAAGTGGAAATAATAAGGCTAATAGCAATAATAATAATAATAACAATAATAATAGTAGTAGTAGTAATTGTACTGGTGGAAATGTAACCGCAACCGCCAATAAGACTGATAATCAGAAGAATCAAACAAAAAGTAATCAGAATAGTGGTAATAAAAAGAAGAAGCAAAATGTTGATGTTCAACGTTCTGTTAATGAATGTGTTACGCCACCATTGAGTAGTCAATTTAAGGATATTAGCGCAAATTCTAAAATTAATATTGAGAATCTCAAGCTGCCGCCCGGTATTACGATTACAAAAGTTGACACGCCCGTCAAGCCTTTTCCATTGAAAATTGCACAGAAGCTCAAACCGACAAATCCACCGAAGCAAACGACAATTATTGCTTCGCCAATGAGCAATACTCCGTCCGGCTACGCCAATCCCCAAGGCAATGGTAATGTTATTGTTGTTGATACTGGAAAGCTGAAGCAGGATTTAATTCCGAAAAATTCAGATAAAGGTAAGATTTTCATTTTTAGTTCTGGAAAAGGAAGACTATAAAGAAAAAGAAAAATTGTTTTCGAATTGTTTTAATTTCATTTTTCATTTTTAGTTTTAAATGTCAATTATTAAAGTTTTAAGTTTCGATTTTTAAACCCTAATCTCTTCACTTCGATGATTCCAATCTATTTTTTAATTTTTAGTTCCAATTTTTAATTGCATTTAAATTTTTACTTTTTAATTAAATTTTTTAAGCATTAATTTATGATTTCGTTACATTTTTAAATTCGTTTTCATTTTAATCTTTGAATTTCAAGGTTCAGTTGCAATGGTTTAATTGTAATTTTAAGTTCTATATTTCAATTTCCGAAGATTTTTATATATACAATTTTCATATTCGAATCTTTAAACTTTAAATTTCTGCTTTTATTTTATTTAGTTATTATTTTTCAGATTCAATCTTTTATTATTTTGGTCTTATTTTTCAATTATCTACTTAAGTTTTGATATTTAATAGTTTTTAGTTATTTATTTATATTTTTATAAAACATATGTAATCATATTTATTTTTATTTATTTATAGATCTTAATTTGTAAATTTTAATCTTTTAATTTCAGTTATTTAGTTCCATATGTTGAATATTGATTTTGTTTAGTTGCAATTTTTTAATTTTAATTTTTTCTTTCAAGTTTTAGTAACAAAACTTTAAATTACATGGTTTGAAGTTTCTTTTTTGAATTCTGAATTTTTAAACTTGAAAGACTGAATCTTTTATAATTTCAAGTTCTTAATTACATAGATATTTTGAATATTACATTTTTCGTTACAATTTTTCAATTTGAACTTTATTTCAATTTTTAATAACAAATTTGTAAACTTGAATCTTTTAATTTCAATTTTTTAATTACATATTTTGAATATTAAATTTTTCGTTACAATTTTTTAATTAATTTTAATTTTAATCTAATTTTAATTTTAATTTAATTTTAATTTTAATTTTAATTTTAATTTTAATTTTAATTTTAATTTTAATTTTAATTTTAATTTTAATTTTAATTTTAATTTTTAATTCTAATTTGAGGTTTCTTTTTCGAATTTCTTCTAGTTTTTTTCTTAATTTGTAAAATTGAATCCTCTAATTTCAATTTTTTTAGTTCCATATTTTAAATTTTCAAAATTTAAATTTCATTCTTTGAATATTAATTGTTTAGTTGCACTTTTTAATTTTAATATTTTTTTCATTTTATAGTAACAAAACTTTTTATAACAATTTGAAATTTATTTTTTGAATTTCTAGTTTTTTGTCTTAATTTTTAATCTTGAATCTTTTAATTTCAAGTTTTTAATTACATATTTTGAATATATTAGATTTTTCATTGCAATTTTTTAATTTTAACTTTATTTTAATTTTTAATAATAAATTTGTAAACTTTAATCTTTTAATTTCAATTTTTTAGTTCCATATTTTAAATATTTCTTTTTTAATTACAATTTTTTAATTTTTATTTTATTTCAATGTTTAGAAACAAATTTTAAATTTCTTTTTTACTTTCTAAATTTTTTTGTTTTAATTTTTATATATTTTAATTTATAAAGTCTTTAGTTAGGTACAAATTTTGAATTTCCATTTTTTAACTGAAACAAAAAGTACAAAATCAAAATTAAATGATTTATATTTTTAGATTGAAAACGAATTTTAGGAATTAAAACATGAGATTAAAAATAAAATGTCATAAATGTAAAATAAAGAATAAAAAATCAGAACTAAAGATTTGATTTTAAAAAATTTTTATTTTTTTTTGTTACTTTTATTAAAAATTTCTACTTCTTAAGAATAAATAATTTTATTTTTAAAGTTTAAACTATTCTTAGTATGATTGTTTTGATTTAAAATCATTTTTTAATAGAATGAAAGAAAAAATTCATTTTGACTGAAAAAAGTTTTTTATTTTTGTAATAAATCTATCATCTTTTTTTTGTAAATTTCAATAATTGTTTAAAAATATTTTAAAATAAGACTTTTAATACATTCAAAATTATTTTAAACCCTTCAATTTCTGTATTTTATAATCCTTAGAAACACAATTGTCTTTAAAGATTTGAATTTTACAGAATTTTAAATTTTCTTCCTCCTTTTCTCTTTCGAGCTTTGCACATTTTTTTTATCTATCTAAGCAATTATTTCGTAAATAAATATTTTAAAAATGTGTTTGAAAAACGAAATATTATCAAATCAACTGATGCCGTTTTTCATTTGATTTTCAGATGCAACAAAGGAATCTCAAGGTGGCAAAAAGAAGAAAAAGAAGAAGAACAAGAATGCCGCTAATCAAAATCCATCGTCATCATCATCTTCATCAAATTTGACACTATCACAAAGAAACGATCACTCTGGCAATGACCATGGCGACGATGTGGCGAAAATCCTTCACAATCCACAAACAAATATGGTGACAATTAGAAATCCAGCATTTGGTCCACCGAAAATGGAACCCGTCTCTCAACAAGCAGCAATAATAAAAGTCTCAGAGAATGGTATGGTGACAATTCGAAGTCCAGCATTGCAGCAAGCCATCAATGCCGGTTTAACGCCACCACCGAAACCCGACTTCATCATTAAAGGCGATTTAAATGCCACAAAATCAAATAAACAAAACAATGGCATTATACCGTCGAGTATTACCGAAATACGCAGTCGACTATCAACGGAATGCACCAGTTTAAGTGATCTCGCTAATATTCAAATCAGTAAAGTGGCAAGCGGTCAACCAATACCCGAAAGTGGAATCAATCTCAAGGGTACGAGTGTAACATTAACCAAGGTGAGAAATCCTGAGACAGCAACGACAACGACAACGTTTGACGAACAGGCGAAAACAGCTGTAAGGGAGGCGATTAATGCGTCGATGACGGTTTCAAGTGGCGGCACCACAACCAGCAAGGGGAAGAAAAAGAAAAAGCGCGGAAATGGCGCGAGGCAAAGCGGCGATGACTGGAACCTCGTTGGTGAGAAACAACAATAATCAAACTTTAATCATGTAAATTTCCGCTTCTTTTATTTGTTTTTAAAAACCGAAAAAGAAAAGTTTTTTTTTGAGAGAGAGACAAATTAAAATCGACAGAAAGCTGACATTGTCAATTGTACACGAAATGGAATTTTACTTTTTGAAAAATACGATTTATAGAAAAAATAGGCGTTTTCGTAGTCGAGAAAGAGGAAAAATTTTGTATTATCGCAGCTTTTTCCCCTTATCCTTCTCTTTGACTTAATTTTTTCTTCAAGATTTATCTCAATTTTTTGCGAGTATTGTCAAGTCCTTTTTTTGGGCACCTGCACAACACAACACACATCTCACTCACAATTTAAGATCTCACTACCTTTTTGCTAAGTTTTACCTCACAAATAGATTTCTATATTTATCGTTGTAATATACAATTTAGATTATTTACTTCTTTGTCTCCTTGAGGTCTTGTTATTCAGTGGTCATGTTTTTCAATAAGATACGTGACCACTGAATAACAAGACCTTTAAGGTATTTATTGCTAGTCCAAGCCTTTTTTCTCTCCATCTCTTTTAATAAAAAGATTGTCCGTACTACGAAAGGAGCGCGTCTTTTTACTTTTAGTCTACATGTTTAAGGTATACTTCTTTGTTTTTTTAGATTTTCAAAACAAAAAAAAATTCGCGTATACTAATTATACTTTGTATAGAAAAAGAGAAACTGTTTTTTTTGTTGAAAAAATAGCCCTAGCTTTCTAAAGCAAAAAAAAGAAAACCAAATGTGATATTCAAATACAGGGAAACTAGATATATATTTACAAAAAAACAAAAAAGGAGATATTTTTTATCTGCTGATTACACACAAAAAAAAATAATAACAATAAAATGACATTTTTTTCTCGAAAAATATTCAAATTCTATATTTTCTTCTGAACTGAACATTTATTTCCTGATTGCTGCATGGGTTCGATTTTTTCGTATAAAATATTATTCTCCAATTTGTTTCGAAATAATTTCTCGATTTCCTTGTGATAATTTTTCGATATTTTAAGAAGAAGAAAAAAAAGATGACTTCTTTTTTTTCGAATTCGTTGATGGAAAAAAGACAATTTTTATTTAAATTTTAAGATGAATAATGTGAAGGTTTGTTAGTTTGTCGGAATGTTGTGTTTATTTCGTTTGAATAAAAAGTGTATTTTAAAACAAGTTTTGGATAATATTTCTTTGTCGGGATTATATGTTTTTTTTGTTATTGCTGTTTGATCACTAGTTTTTTTTCTTTTATTTATTTATTTATTTATTTTTTTTTTGAAAGAAATTGGGGTGTAAAAATAGAATTTTGCATCCCGTACCCATGCAGTACGTCGACAAATGTACAGCAGATGCCGACATTTACCCGATTCCTTTTCTGCATTCAAAAGCCTTTTTCCACTTCCATTCACGGTGAAGTTCAACTAAACAAAAATAAAAGCAAATAAATAATAATTAAATTTAAAAAATTACTAATTAATCAAATACAGAAAATAAATTTATTAAAATTTAAATTTTCGCTTTAATTGCTATTTTATTTGAATTTTTAAAAAAATTGTACATAGTTTTATTTTATTTTCAAAAATTTATTTTATAATTGTAAGTTGAATTTTATTTTGGATAATTGTCTAAATTGCACGCTTTAGAATATTTATTGCTCACTTATTGCACTGAGAAAAATTACAATTAAATATGAGAAATAAATTTTATGTAAGGAATTCTTTTACGATTTTAAGGAAACATAAGTTTAGTGTCATAATGCAACAATTTTTCTTCAAGAAACAAAAAAATAACTTTATAATATTTTTTTCATTTTCAGGAAGAATAGGAATTTTTAGTTTTATTGTATTTTTCAGAAAAATGAAGATAAATCTTAGTGAAATTGAAAATCTTTTCTTGTTAATTATGAAATATTTAAATTTAATTTTGAAAATTTTTTAAAACTGAAATTGCGGTTTTGTCCAAATTATTTTTATTTTTTTGATTTTTTACACTTTTAACGATGTCTTTACAATTTTTTTCTCATTTTTTACAATTAAAACAATTTTTTGGACTTTAAATAAAAATCTATATAAAATTGTTTTTCTTTTGAAATCGTAAAATAATTATTAGTCAAATTTATGTACAATTTATTCCTTTCACTAATTTAATATACTTATATAGTCGTAAATTTTAATTTAAATGTTGCACAGTTTCTTATAAGTTAAAATTAAATAATTTTAAATTATATTATTTTATATTTTATAATCAAATATTATATTATATATATTGTATATTTATAATTAATTTTAGTTTTTATTCAAGAAAAAAATTCTCAATTTTTAAGTATTTTTTTATTTCATAAATTTATTGTTTTAAAATTATTTTCATATTTTTATAATTTTTATTTTTATTTTTATTTCAATTTTTATAAATTTATTTGTAAATTCTATAAATTTACAAAGTGAGCACAATATATAATGTTTGTTAATTAAATAATTTAAGTAAAAGAGCTCTAAAGAGCATTGCTATAATTTTTATTTTTTAAAAAAAGTACAAATTCTAAAAAAAAATTGTTGATAGAAATTCAATTCAAATTTGGATAAGTATTGAATAATTAAAAAAAAATTGATAATAAACGAATTTTAGATAAATTGGGATTAAATGAATATATTTTAATATAATTTATTATCACATTTATAAAAATTATTCTATCATAATTGAAACAAATTTATTTTGGTTTCATTAAAATTTTACTTTTTATAAAAAAAATTCTTTTTTCAATTGCTTTTCATTTATTTTTTTACAAAAAGATTTAAATTTTGGAAATTATAATTAATATATTTTTTACGAAAAGTAAATAAAGAGGAGAAAAAGTACAAAACGAGCACAAAAACAAATGTAATATAAGGAAAATCAGACGCAACAATTTTTAAAAACCTTAAATAAGAGTATATCTTTGATTTGTAGTAACAAATTAAAAAAAAATTTCGACTAAATTTTTCCCATGACAAAAATTTAATTTAACTTTTTCATTGAAACAGAAATAGCAAATACGTTCAAACAAGTGAAATTTTCCATTTTTCGATATTTTTACTTAAAAATAATATTTCATTATTAAAATAATAATAATAATTATTATTAATTTTATTTTTTAAATAAACAAAAATAAATTTTTTCAATTATATAATAAATAATCTGTAATTAAATATATTACATTAAACACAATAAATAATAGTAATAATAATTATTTTTATATTATCTTTTGTTAGGTTTTTATTATTACTATTATTTTTATCTGCTTATTTTAATTTTAATTTTTTTTATTTTTATAGATAAATTCTATTTTAAATTATAGTTAAATTCTTATTGATATTGTGCACATTTTGGAAAACTTGTATTGTTAAAAAATTTTTTTTAAGAAAGCATGGGAGCGCAAGTAGAAAAGAAAGAAAATTAATAAAATATATGTTCTTCTGTATTTTTTTTAAGTATTTATTTTGTAATCTTTCTTTTTATAAAAAAAGCACTTGCCGATCTCTAGTATTGAGAGCGTGTCTTTTGCAGAGAGTGTATTCACGCCAAAAGATATAGACCTCGAGGACGGTGAAATGGACGATGCTGAACGTGAGCTGGAAGCCTTTAAGAGATTTTGTCTCCAATCTGTGCCACCCCCACGAAAGGAGAAGGTGAATCTAAATATCAAGGACATCGTTCTGAAAAAGAAATCATCATCATCAACATCTGCCGCTGCAACGGCCGTTATTGCCGCCAATTAAAACTAATTAATTTTCTTTCTTTTTTTTTTCATTTAAACATATATCCGTCTCTCTTCACTTTTACAAAAATGAAAAAAAAAAAAAATTCTACTAAAACTACTGCCAATTTTTTTTGAAAATCAAGTCAGATTTTCAAAGAAGAAAAAAAAATGAATCATTTTTCCCGGTTTTTAAAAGGTGAAAAAATATAAGTATTTTAGAGGAGGGTTGGGGGTGAGGTAAAAAAAGTGGCAGAGCAACCTGAGGCGAAATTCCATGAGAAGAAGTATATTTCTTTTTCAATTGTTTATATTTTATATATATATACAGTAAATCTGTGATCGTTCAAAGTATTTTTTTCGGCAAAAAAAAAGCTTCTTCTCTTTGATGAGCTCTTAGATTATAAATAATATAAAATGTATATGTATGTATTTACGTGTTGTAGAAAAAATTTTTTTTTAACAAATTATTAGAGAAATTCCAAGCTTTAAAAAAAAGTTGCGTTCGAACCTGGAAGATGAAGTTAGATTTTCAAATTGAATCTTGCCTTTTTTTAAAATAATTATATCTCACCGAATCAACCAGGATCGTAAGTTGCTCTGCTTTTTCTCGTGCACAGTCACAAATTATATATAATATATTTTTTTTCTAATAAGTAATTTAAAAAGTGCACTTTTTTAATTCGTATTTTATTGTGTCACTTTTTTGTTGTTTTTTTTGCGAAAAGTTGAAATTTTGTTTAAAAACAAAATAAAACAAGACTTGAGAGAGAGAATAGAGAGAAAGAGAGAACCGTTTATTGGTCGCTCAAGTTTTTTTAAAAAAAAAATATTCTCCTTTTGCTCAGTCTCTCAGCCTTTAATTTGCGATTAGTTAAAAAAATAATAATGATAATGAAATGTTTAATAATCGTGAAGACGCGATTGTCTTATTAATTGTTAATTACTGTATACGAATGAATTTAGACGATTTATAAATTATATATATATATATATAAATATATATAGATATGAAAGGAAAGGATACGTCAGCTTTGGACGCACTTGAATTTTTTTAGTGGTGATTTTTTTTAGGAAATAAATCGTCAATTGTATATATGAAATAATGAGAAACGTATTAATTCGCAGGAGAAGAATTTATTTCTATCGACGCGATAAAGAAAAAAAGAAAAAAAAAGAAACGATCCTTGTAAATGGATCAAAATTTTTTTTCCCGCGAGTTCTCTAATGTAAAGAGCCTCGTTTCCTTGTTGGCATTTCATTATAGGATATAGAATATTCTAGTGATATTGTATTTGTAGAATAGCTTTTCATACATCAAGATACATTTCGTCAAGAAGATATAATCAAGTCTTATTCTTTATCAATGAAACCTTCTCCTTGCGCATTGTCAGATTTTTATTCTACTTTTCTTTTTTTTGCCATTTTGTCTAAGAAGAGGTAAAAATATTTTTTATCAAAATTTAAAACATTTTCATACATTTATTGAAGAATTTCCTGGATTGGAATCGGTCAGAGAAAATGAAATTGCTCAGGGAAATCAGAGTAATCTCAAGATATTTTGTTAAAAGTTTTCGAAAAATATTAAATTCAATTAAATTTCCAGAATTATTACAAAAAATTTTGTTTTTTTAATGACCAAAATATTTTTGAAGAAGTTGAAAACCTAGAATTTTTTCTCATTATGAAAACTTTCAATTTACAATAAATATCAAAACAATGACTTGATTTTTTCGTATTTCTGTAAATAATTAAAATTATTTTAAATATTTTAAGTCTAGAATAAATTTCTTTATTTTATTAATTATTATTATTAAACTAGCCAAACTATCCGCGCGCAAGCGCGAGGGAATGTTGTATCGAACTGCTTATTTTAAACAATTTAAACTCCATTTTATTTAAAAAAATGTTTAAAGAAATAATTATTATTACCTAACAAAAAGATTGAAATAATTAAAGGTAGAAAAAGTTAACAATTATAGAGAATTAAATTTTCATTTTATATTATTTTGAAACTTTAAAGTTTACAAAAGAAATTTAACAACTTCGAACTTCTAAATTTTTTTTAAAATTTAAATACTTTCACTTAATGGTCTCAATTTAAATAGAATTTACATTACTGGACCTGAACTATGGCTAGAACAATTCCAATTAGTATCTGGGTCATAAAAATTAATTTAATTCACAATTAATAAAAAAATAGCCACAGCCGGTAATCAGCAGGAGGTGAAAAATTATTTTTTGAGCAAATTTTATCTTTTACATTGCTTATTTCTGAATCCGATAAATTAGAAGAAAGTCAGACAAATGGAAGTTCTATTTTGAATTTCTAAATTTTAATGTCAAATTTAACGCATTAGAAACGAATTTTAAGTGAATCCTATAAATTTTGTAAAAAAAATTACTGCTGTTAAACTTTCATGTTGTACGAAGAAAATTGAATCTCGCAAAAATTGTTACATATTTTATACTTTTATTATCAAAATAATTTTGATTACGAAAATTTTAATTATTCCAAAAATTAAAAAAATAATTATTCATTTAGCTTTTTAAACAAAAAATTCCGTATCTTTTGAAACTACTATAACTGCAAAAAATTAAATTAATTGAAAAATGATAAAGTTAAACAACTTTTAATTATAATTTCTTTGGAAAACAAAATATCTATAATATAAATACTAACTATAACTTGCATTAATTATTTAATTACAAGATGTAATATAATATTATAATGATAGCCCCTAAATTTTAATTCTATACGTTGGTTGTTTAATTGAATTTTTAACTTAATAATTATTATTTACTCGGCAGGTATGTGTCCATAATTTAATGTTAACATTATTTTAATATTGGGAATAGATATTTGATGTAATATATTTTTAATTGAAAAAATTGACAATATATTTTCATTGATTTGTTGAATATTCTATAAATCACGTATTAATTAAAAACATGAAAATTAAGACACGTTAAAAGTTTATAAAATAAACATGATATTAGACAATATTTTTATGTAATAAAAAATATAAAAATAAAACTTGTATTAAATTTATTACTATTTTATAAAATATACTTTGATAATTTAAATTTATGTTGTGGTCTTTAATAATAATATAGTAATTATTTTAAATTATTATGAAAATAATTAATAATTAATAATTTTAAATTATGAAAAATAAATATTATATTTTTAACAATTACATTATGTAGAGTTTTGCAAGTTAAAAAATTATTAAAAAGTTAAAAAACTAAATATTCTGTAATTAAGAAATTTATAAAAATAAAATTCAATTGATTGTAAATTATATCAAATAACTTTTTTCAATATATTGAAATAATGTTAACATTAAATTATAGAAAAGTATTTACCTTTAGAGTGAATGATAGTTGTATAAAGCTAAAAATTGAATCAAACACAATAACAGTACTGCCAGATGATTAAAACGACAAATCTTCAGACTTTTCTTATTTATCTTCAGAAATCTTTAAATTAGTCAAAAAACTTTCTTCAGATTTTGGTTGTAATTTTTTCTAGAATATGATAAATGAAATTAAATTTCACAAAGAATTATAAAGAAATAAATTATAATTTTGTTGTGTTTGAATCTGTTCGCAATTTGAAAGTAAAAGTTTTCAATGTTTTTAATTTTAAAAATTAATGCACTGAAAATGATTAAATTCTTGCAAAGTTTTTATTAAAAATTTGGAAATAATTCTGTGGAAGAAAGGCATAACAGCATAACTGCATTTGTCATGATTTCGAGATAAATTAATTTTAATGTTCTTTCACTTCTGTCAATTCAGAAAATCAACAGATTTGTTCGGTCTTTTGCATTTAGTATTATTATTTAATATATTTTCAAAATTCTTTTATAACATTTAATAAAACACACGATTTAATATAAATTTTGATAATTTTTCATCGGAATCATGAGTTTTATTGCACTTATGCGGTTATGCAAGTTCAGATTGTATATGAGTCCAACTTCAGACACTTTTAATGTCACAATTTATTTTGGTTTGATTTGTCATAATAAAAAAATTTTTCATACAAAGACAAATTAAACTATTAATTCGTTAGAAAAAATTATAAGAGTTTATTTAGTTATAAAATTTATTTTTTTATAAAATGTTTTTAATTTATTGAAACGAAGAAAAAATTTACTTTACTGTTCAACTTGAAGAATTTTTCAATTTATTTTTTGAAATACTTTCCAAAATTTTTTAGAATAGAAATACCCTTAAAAATTAGTACACAATTAAATGCACAATTTATGCTATAAAAAATTTGTTCAAGTTTTATTAAAATAAATATATTTAATTTAAAGTACGAAAAATGTATTTTACTAAAAACATTTTATTACAAAATTCTTATTGTTTTTATTCATAAAGGTTATTTTCATTTTTAATTATGTCAATTGTTTTTTAAGCTGAATGCAGTTATGTTATTATGCTGGTCTCCTTTTGTCAAAAACGCAATTATGCGATTATGTTTTCCATTATTTTCTACATTAATGACCATTTTAATGATTTTTCAGCTATTGAACTTTGAAGAGCAATATTAAATATGTATATACAAATCTGATGTTATCTTAAATTTGATAAAAATGTCAGTTATGCTGTTATGCCTTTCTTCCACAAAATTAGTCATTTGATTTTTATAAAAAATTTTTTTAAATAATTCAATTATTTCCAAAGAATGTTTTATTAAAATTTTTTTTAAATTATTTAATTCTTTCGAAAACTGTTATTAACATTTTTGAAAATAATAAACAAGAATAATTAATTATATAGTTAATCTGAAATTAAAAAATTAATGTTTATATTTGAAAATATAAAATTTTTTGATTTGCAAAATAATAAATGGAACAGTAACAAATACTTTAGTAATTAATAATTATTACATTTATTATTATAATCATAAAAACGTAAAGAACAAAAATTATAATTTAACTTTAAAAAATGGTTTATTTATATTATATAAATGTTTATAAATATTTTCATTATTACTTGATATATACACAGCCTTCACAAAATTTTCAAACAATCTTCAAGTTTTTACTATATATATTTCTTCCAATCTGGCAGCACTGAACAATAATAACATGAACATTGAAAAATTTGACATTTAAAAATATAAAAAATGCCAATACTTAACCCACAAAAATTAATTTTCAAAACAAACAAATGAATGCAGATAATTTGCTAACGGAAAGGAAACTTACGATTATTATAATGTATATTAAAAAAGATTTTTGTTTAAAACAGTTGCAATTTTTAGAAATAAATGAATTTCATAAGGTTTTAAATTAAAATTTTTTAAAAGTTCAATTAAAAATTAAAAAATTTTAAATTTCGGAGAAATTTTAATTCAATTTTTTTAATTTACTTGAATTTTTAAAACAATTTATTAAAAGAATTCTCAAATCAATTAAAATTTTGTAAAATAAAATTGAAAATTATTAAATTTGTTAAATTTTACAATCGATTGTATCATTATTGTAACAAGCAGCATTAAAACGTTCAAATTGCATCAAAAGTAATTTAATTTTAAAAGAGTTACAATACAAATTTTTATTAATTAGTCAATTTTTTTTTAACTTTGAAATTCAGTGGATGAGTTTTTTTTATTCAAATTTAGAGGCAATTCTATTTTTTTAAGATGATTAAATTTTTTTAGACAAGTATAATTGAAATTTTTTGAACATTGAACAACCTTGTTAAAAATAACTGAAATTTGCCAAAAATTTTATTAAGGGCGGAACCTCCTTTATTGCGTCAAAAAAATCGACTTTCTGGAAATAATTTTAATTGATTCTAGAACTATTCAATATGACATTTAGTGTTTCTTGAAAAAAAATTTTTTTCATATTTTTTTGGAATTTTAAAGTCAATTTTTATGCACGAAAAATCACTTTTAACTTAAAAGTGGGTAAAAAAATCGAAATATCATATAGAAGTTATTATCCTAAAGTTTGAAAAAAACGTTGGTTTCTTTGTTTTAGAAAAAAATTCAGAGCGCTGGAATGTTCACAGATAAAATAAGGTGACATGGACGCGGTGTATATTTCCATACTAAAAATGTTTTGTTTTTTCTCCAAAAATTTTTTTAGACTCTCAAGACATGTATTAAATTACCCTATAAATTACAAAACGTTTGAAGTTATTTTACCCGAGAAAAAAGATCCCAAAAATGACGCATTTTTCGATCGTCTAAAGGAGGTTCCCCCCTTAATTGAATTTTAAATTGGTATGACAAATTAAAACTTTTATTTAAAAATTTTTAAATTTTAGATGGGAAATCTGAAAAATACAGAAAATTTCAGAAAAAAGATTCATCAGTATT